CGGTGTTGTGTGAAACTGTTTATTTATTTATTTTTTTAAAGGTGGTTTTTGTTTTTGTTTTTTTTTTTTTTTTTTGACAGATCACAAGTAGGCAGAGAGGCAGGCAGAGAGAGACAGGAGGAGGCAGGCTCCCTGCTGAGCAGAGAGCCCGATGCGGGACTCGATCCCAGGACCCTGAGATCATGACCTGAGCCGAAGGCAGAGGCTTTAACCACTGAGCCACCCAGGCGCCCGAAACTGTTTATTTTCAATGACAGAAAATTAGGCCTAGCAGAGTGCCAGGCCAACTCTGGGTTGTCTGGGCTGCTTATGTATATACTGAAATATGCACCAGACACGGGTTGTAGTATTTTTCATTAGAGTAACTCATTTGACATATAGAAAATTCAGTTAATCCTCAGCAAACTCTATAAGTTAGGGTATTTATTATGTCCTTTTATGAGTTAACTGAGAAATAGAAGTTTACATAAAATATCAGAGATCACAGGAGACAAAGGCATAATCAGATTTCAGGCTCTTATTGCTCGGAGACCATATTTTTTATGCGATGCTAATGTTGAGCATCCATTTATGCCAGGCCCTCTACACTCAGCATTTAAGCAACTGTGGTCAAAGTAAGCAATGTAGTCTGTGTTGTCTTGTGTTGAAGGAAGAGGCATGAAACACATGCTGGTTGCTGCAGTCCTGGTACTTATGTTTCTGTGGGGAAAAGTAATGGTTAAATGGTAAAACTTAGGCTTATAAGAGGTTTGTGAGGTGAAGAAACAATGACGAGAGATAACAGAGCTAACACAGGGAGTCTAGTGTGAAGTTTTTAGTGTATAGGCAAGAAATTCACTGAGGGGCACCTGGGTGGCTCAGTTGTTAAGCTTCTGCCTTCAGCTCAGGTCATGATCTCAGGGTCCTGGGATTGAGCCCCACATTGGGCTCTCTGCTCAGCAGGGAGCCTGCTTTTCCCTTCCCCTCTGCCTCTCCCCCTGCTCATGCTCTCTTTATCTCTAAAATAAATAAAATCTTAAAAAGAAAAAACTCACTGAGTGAAGCTGTCATCATGCATATGCGTATTTCCATCATTTAGTATGTCCTTAATTAGTACTGTTTCAGGAACTACTTAAGATTGTTTGTAAATAGTGGGGAGTGATACAGACAGTCCTGTATTCATGTAGTTAACTGTAATGATTCTCCATAAAAATAAAGGTATAGGCATGGTTCAGCTTAACGTCTGTAGTGGTTAACTTTTTAGGGCATGTGATATGTTTCCATGAATTCAGACATGGGTATTTGGGGCCAGATTCTTCCCAGTGATTTGGAGTATAGAGTGTGGGTGTTTAATGTTCTTATGTGGAAATAAAGGTATATTGTATTATATACTTAAAATATTTTTGCTTCTACTATAGATGGATTCACACAGTTTGTACCCCAAAAAGCCATAGGTTTGCACTTAATTTGATTAAACATTATGGTTGTCTGCACAGTTCTACCTTCTTATGAGTATAGTGAATTAATGCAAGCCAATTGTAATCTTCTTGCAGAAGCAAGGTAATTTATGAGTAGGGGGCAGTTATCCATGAAAAATTAAGATGAGCTACAGAGGGTACCATTTTGAGTAGTACTCCAATTTAGTAAAAAAAGGTATATTTGATATTCTCAAGCAGGGAAAATTTTAATCCTTTTTTTAGGAGAAGGTGGAAGGTTTTTGCTTTAATGATCCAAAAAATCCAAAAGCCCCATTCTACTTTTTTTTTGGTATTAGTTTCACTGATGGAATTTAGTGATTTATCAGTTGCATGTAACACCCAGTGCTCATTACATCAAGTGTCCCCCTTAATGCCAATCACCCAGTTGTCCCTTCCTCCCATCCATCTTCCCTCCAGCAACCCTCAGTTTGTTTCTTACAGTTCAGCATCTCTTAGGGGTTTCCTCCCTCTCAATTTTCATCTTTATTCTTCCTTCCCTTCCAAAGCTATGTTCATATGTTTTGGTTCTTAAATTCCACATATGAGTGAAATCACAAGGTAGTTGTCATTCTCTGAATAATTTACTTTGCTTAGCATAATATCCTTTAGTTCCATCCATGTACAGGTCATTGCAAATGGCACAATATCATTCTTTTTGATGGCTGAGTAATATTCCATTGTATATATATACACATCTTTATTCATCTATCAGTGGACATCTGGGCTCTTTCCATATTTTGTCTATGTGGACATTGCCACTGTAAACATTGGGGTACACATCCCCCTTGGAATCACTGTGTTTGTATTCTTTGGATAAATACCTAGTAGTAAAATTGCCGGGCCACAGGGTATGTCTATTTTTATCTTTTTGAGGAACCTCCATACTGCTTTCCAGAGTGGCTGTACCAGTTTGCATTCGCATCAACAGTGTCAAAGGGTTCGCTTTTCTCCACAGCCTCTCCAACATCTGTTTTCCTGAGTTGTTCATTTTAGCCATTCTGACTGGTGTGAGATGGTAGCTCATTGTGGTTATGATTTGCATTTCCCTGATGCCAAGTGATGTTGAGCATTTTTTCATGTATCTGTTGACCATTTGTATGTCTTATTTGGAGAAATACCTGTTCATGTCTTCCGCCCATTTCTGGACTGGATTATTTATTTTTTTGGTGTTCAGTTTAATAAGTTCTTTATAGATTTTGGATTCCAGCCCATTATCTGATCAGGCATTTGCAAATATCTTCTCTCATTTCATAGGTTGCCTTTTAGTTTTGTTGACTCTTTCCTTTGCTGTGCAAAAGCTTTTTATCTTGATGAAGTCCCCGTAGTTCGTTTTTGCATTTGTTTCTCTTGCCCTTGGAGATGTGTCCCTTCGACTTTTTACAGGTGTTATTTCCATATGGATATATTTCTAGCACGTTAGGGAGGAGAAAAAAATGCAACAGCATTTTGCTTGATTAAAGAACAAATGAAGTCAAACCTGTCCATTTCTCCATGTTAATTTATGATTTCATAATGCTGCAGAAATTAGTGTGATTTGACAGTCATTGGTATCTCATTTGACCCCTCAGCAACCCACATAATCTCTGTCATCATGCAAATGGAGAAAGTTAAGCAAGGCAGCAGTCTTTTCTGATCTCACATGGCTCCTGATCATAATGAAATCTGTCACTTTGAGTGCTAATATAGGCCATCACCATTCTGGTATTATTCAAAAACTTAAAACTCAGCATATTCTGTAAAGTATGTACAATTTTACACATATGACATCAGAACTTACACACAGGACTGAAAAGGCAACATAGTGTTCCATTTAGAACAGATTAGGGATTAAGGGTGGGGGTGCTGACTACAAATGGGCACCATGAATTTTGGGGGTGGTGATTAAGTGTTCTGTATCTCGATTGTTGCAGAACAAGTGTGCATTTTGGAAAACTGATAGAACTACACTTAAAATAATGCATGTTGATGTACATATATAGAAACTGGATTAGGAACAAACCACCACCAAACGAACAAAGCCACTTTCATATGCTAAGAGGAGATTTAAAACTCTCCCCCACCCTGATATATGAGTGTACAGCAAGACTTGTTTCCGTCACATTGGGAAGAATTGACAGAACTCGGGAAGAACTGACAGAACTTGGGAAGGATATGCGCCTTACCAGGCCCTTTTGGGGAGTAGTCAGTAGTTAGAGAACAAGCCTAGGGCCCTCCCCTCACACACATACCCGGAGGGCAGTGAAGACCTCCTCTGGAATCTCTGATTTTACACCGGGTTCTTGGGGTCAGACCATTAGCAACGCTCTGGTTCTGGAACCTAAAGGTGGACCTCTCAGTTGTTCCCCGGCGGGGATCCCGCCATGGGGAGTCCTAACCCTCGGGCACCGGCACCCTGACTTTCCCGCTCCACACGTGCCGTCAAGCCAGTCCCGTGCCTTCTTGCTGGGAAGCGCCATTATGGACCCCGACATCCCTGGGAAGGCCGTGCAGCCCCCACGCGGCCGTGAGGCGGAAGCAGGACACACGGCTCTCGGCCGCCGCACCTCCCGCGGCCACATACACATCTGCTCACGACCCACAAGCACAGTCACACGCCTCAGGGTCTCAAAACCGCCTGTCAGGTCCCAAAGACGCCTACAGGCACTCACACCCTTTGTCCCAGTCACCAACGCGACTTGTCTCCCAGCTCAGGTCTGACACTCGGAGTCTCCCACACCCCGACCGCCCACCTCCGCGTCTGCCTTACCCGCAGGCTCCAGGACTAGTGTTCTGAGAAGCCAGCTGGGGCGCATGCGCCCTTCGTCCTGCGTGGCGCCCCCACGGCGCGGAACCCAGCCCGCTGGCCTGTGGGAAATGTAGTTCCGAAAAGAGGCCCTCTCAGAGGCGGGGAGTCCCGGCACTCAGACTTTTCCCAGCATGCAGCACGGGCCTGCGTCCACCCCTGCGTGCTGGAGACCCCTGGGAGCTCGTCGGGGCCGCCGCGCAGGCGGACCTACTCAGCGTGCGGAGTCCGCCAGAGCGTTCGCGGGTTCGGGGCGGGAGCGCTGACGGTAGTGGTGCGGGTCTCGCCGCGCACTCCCCCAGCTCCAGCTCTGAAGTACCGAGGGCCGCGACGTCCCGATCGGTGGCGCTTCTCCTGGTGGCCCCAGCTCGGAGGCCTCCACCATCATGTCCCCCTGCGCGGGGGCAGCGTCGGCCGACGCGGAAGGGAGGCCCCACGGCGGGGGACGGGGGCGCTGCCGCGCGGGGATGGCTTCGGAGGAGACCGCGTGCGGGACGAGGCGGCTCCCCGGCGGAGCCCTCGGGGCCCGGAGTCCGCTCTGCAGTTCTGAGGGGCAGGGAGGGCCCCGGAGCACCCCTGTGCCCCAGGATGGCTGGGGGCACCCGCGCGTGGGTTTGGGGACTCCTGCCAGTGGGTCGGGCGCGAGAACGGCGGGTCTACCCCGGTCCCGGCGGCTGCGGCTCCACCACGACGCTTGTGCGCAAACCCCGCCGTCGCGTGTCTGCGGAGCCGGACGTGCGACGATACTCCGTGGCGTTTCCATGCGGCGCGGCGGTGTAGGTTCTGCGGTGAGCGCCCGGGACGCAGCGTCCGGTGCCCTGGGAGCGGGCGTTCTCGTGTCCGCGCAGTGCTTCCCGGTGGGCCCAGCCCGTGTGTGACGGCGGAACGGCTGGTCCGGTCCTCATTTCCAGGCGGGTTCTGCTGACCTCCGGGGGGGACGAAATTACTGTATCAGAAACCCTTATGTGTGGGAAAACTAGAAGGCGTCGCAATTATCTTTGTTGAGTTTGATGCTACAGGAAATAGAAAGGTTGGGAACCAAGCCAGCTTTTTAGGTTTATTGAAAATAACTGAACTACAATAAAATTCAGATATGAGTAAGTTTTGATACATGTATGTGTCCATGAAACCATGACTGTGATCATAATAATGTCCTAGAAAACTCAGTTTGGAGTGAGGAATAAGTCATGAATGGAATATTGGACAGTATAATTCCGAATTTCTTAGATACTTGTCAAGGACTAGAGCTCATTTCAGGGATAAAAATGTCCCCATGTTATAAAATACAAATATATTTTACCAAGAAGATGCGGCATGCATCGCTGCACAGCGGTAGAAATTACGGCTACATTAACACATGGACAGTGGTTATCTACAAGGGAATAACGAATCTTCTGTCAACTCCATGAATGATAATCTACTTCTTGAAAATTTACCTGTGAAGAAGGAAGCTAGAACACTCTTAGAAGTTACAGCAAGTTTTTATGACTTCAGAATATGGAGAGTTTTCTTATATAAGAGAAAAGAGTACGCTACAAAGGAAGAGAATGAAAAACTAAACTCAAACCTACAGACCACTGAAATGTAGAATAAAGGGAGTACAAAGATAAGCACATTCTGGGGCATGATATTTGCAATACATACAACTGAAAACAATTCATGTCCAGAGTATATAAAGGTGGCAGAAGGGGCACCTGGGTGGCTCAGTCGTTCACTGTCTTCCTTCCGCTCAAGTCATGATCCCAGGGGATCAAACCCCACATGAGGCCTTCTCCCCACACCCTGCTTGTACTCTCTCTCTCGCCGTCTCTCTTACTCTCTCTCTGTCAAATCTTTAAAATCTTTTTTAAAAAGATACCAGAAGAAACCAATAAACGTACAAATGAATTAAATGTAAGAAAATGACTGATAAATATTTCATAGGTGAAAGACAAAAAATGCTCAATATCACCGGTAATTAGCAAAAAGCAAGATATAATCACAAAACAGTCGTCTTCACATGTATGATACAGGCAAATGTTCCACAGTTTCAGTGTTGTCAATCTTGGGATAAATAAACGTATGTAAGAATAGTGGGAGAGTCTGGGGCGCCTGGGTGGGTCAATGGCTTAAAGCCTTTGCCTACAGCTCAGGTCATGATCTCAGGGTCCTGGAATCGAGCCCCGTGTTGGGCTCTCTGCTCAGCGGGGAGCCTGCTTCCTCCTCTCTCTCTGCCTACTTCTCTGCCTACTTGTGATCTCTGTCGAATAAATAAATAAAATCTAAAAAAAGAATAGTGGGAGAATCGATTCATACATTTCATTGGCATTTCCTATAAATTTGAAATTATCTGTAGTCTCCAACTAAGTAATTTTTCTCCAATATAGAGAATTTGTTATGCATGGTCATTTGGAAATTGAAACAGGAGCAGCGTTTTTCACAAGAGGAAAACAAACTTGAAACAGCCCCAGAAGTATAAACACCAGAATGGATAAGTAAATTGGGTTAATCCCAGCCTCAGAAGCCTGTGTGTGTGAAAACAGAAGGGAAACCAACGAGTGATGACCATATTCCCGGTAATTCTATAATGCCCTTTCATGAAAAGCTAAAAAAAAAAAAAAAAGGCAGAGTTGAAACATTACTTAGTGCTGAACAATAGATGGCAAATCTATGAAGAATAACTGTAAAATTCACAATAGCAGTCACATTGGGGGTGGGAGGGAAAGGAAGAAAGGAGGACACATTGGGAGTCTAATATCTGCCCGAAGTCTGTTGAGGATCATGTCCAATCTCCAGAGTTCATGCAATATTAATACTTAAGATAGGACATACTTAATATTTAATACTTAAGCTTAAGGGGGGACATTTATGCAATGTTTTCAAAGTATGAGATGGCACACTATAAAAATTTAAAGAGTTTTACATGTGAAAAAAAGTACAATTTTAAAATATTGTTTTATCCTATTAGAGAATAGACCAGCTATTTGGAACTATTCACAAGCCTTTTAACTGGGTCCATTTAACTTGCCTCGGTATTCATTTGAGTAGCAGAAGATTGGTGTTGGGCCCAGTCTCTAAAAAGAACGGTTTACATGAAATTAAACCATCACAGGTTTAATTTCACAGCTGCAGGAATTTATTTCCAACTGAAGAGAATCGAGCACATATTAGTGTGTAAGCCACATTACCTTTGTATGCCTAAGGGAAGAAACAATGTAGTTGAAATTGCTTCTCTTTACATAAACTCTGTATGTATGAAAACTGATAAAATTGAAATTTGGAGGGGGCAAAGGGACATGATGCTAGAGGGTGTGCTAGGAGAGAGTTTTAAGGCAGATTTCTAAATCTCAGGTGATTTGTTAAACTTTGTGTTCATTCAGGGGCCCCTGGCTGGTGCAGTCACATAAGTGTGGGATTCTTGGCTTCAGCTCAGGACACGATCTCAGGGTCCTGAGACTGAGCCCCTCCCCACACTCCACCTCTGCTTGAGATCTGCTCTCCCTCACCCTCTGCCCCTCCCAACAAGTGCTATCTCTTTCTCAAATAAGTCTTTAAAAAACTTGTTCATTTATAAATAATAAAAATAAATATATTATGTTTTATTTTTATACCTTATAAATCAAATGAGTAATGTATTTTCTGAAGATTTTTATTTATTTATCTGACAGAGAGCAGCAGAGAGGAGCAGCAGCCAGAGGGAGAGGGAGAAGCAGGCTCCCTGCTGAGCTGGGAGCTCCGTGTTGGACTCGATCCCAGGACCCGGAGATCGTGACCTGAGCCAAAGGCAGACGCTTACGGACTGAGCCACCCAGGCGCCCTGAGCAATACATTTTTAATGAGAACCCTCTTTTCTACATGCTATGTCTCTGAGCACTAATTTTTATGAAAGTGAACAATCCTTTTTAAAAACCATAACACACGAATTTTTTCAACTTTGTAAAATATGCAATAGCGTTTCCTTCCACCAGCTCTTAAACTGGCAAGTATTTTCTTCACAGGGAAGCATATTAAATGCACTAGGAATTTTTTGACTCAATCTGTTACGCATATTAAATTTCTGGGTCCATTCCAAGTTTATTTAAGCTTTTGCTCTTTTCTTCGAAGAGTTAAGTGGCCTGAGGGATATCCTAGCCATTCACATTTCAAAGTCTGTAGCGATACACTAAAACACAGATCTGCGATTAATTTCCTTTTAATGTAAAATGTAAACCTGAGCATTCTAATAAATCCATCTGGTAACTTGTGGTTGTTCGGAGCCCAGATTTAGGCTGCAGGGTTCCGATTTCCCGTGAGCTCCCAGCACTCATTGGCTGGACCTCCCTGATCTGAAGCAGCAGGTGAGTGGGGTGGGGCAGCATAGACGCGGCCTCAGCTGTGTCAGCCGCCAAACATCAAAACGAATCCAGACCCTGCACTACACGTGGTGAAGTCACTGTCAAAGTCTGTGTTCTTAGACAGACCCACCGGTTACCCTCCCGTCCCAAGCCAACCTCCGACTCCCGGAGGACACCAGGCCCTCCTGGGCCGTCCCGTCTTGTCCCAGCCCAGCCAGGCTCGGGTACCCCCCCACCCCTCTCTGGACAAAGATGTGTTGCTCCATGGGGAAACGGAGTCTGGAAACAGGGGGTGCCACGGAGCTGCGGGAAGACCCCCAAGTCCTCAAGGAATTAGAGCTACTTCTACTTGGACACAAATGTGCCTCTTGTGACAGCCGGAAGAGGCCTGCCCCCTGTGTTCCACTTGTGCGGAATCGTCCCAGCAGCGGCCCTGGGGTGTTGGGCTACCCTATTAGGAGGGCCGGGGCGGGGTTCCGAGCACTACCCAATCAGGATCCGAGGGCCGGGAGCACCGTCCAGTCAGAGCAGGGGGCGGGCGCGCTCCCAGCCTCACGGTCTAGGCCCGCAGCCGGCCCCAGGCACTAGTGTGCCCCTGCCCCGTGCGGCGGCAGGTGTCTTCGGTCTGCTTCGCTCTCGCCTGCGCGGGCCGGGCAGTCACACGGAGGACGCAGGGAGAGCCAGGAGCGGGGCTGAGAGATGGTGAGTGCGTGGGGTCGGGCCGACACCGGGAGAGGCTGTTTCGAACAGGCCGGTACCGGCTGGAGGTGGCCCGGGTTCCTCCCCCTCTCCCACCCCATCCAGGTGCTGACCCGAGTTTCCGCCCTTGGCCGCGGGGTGAGGTCCCGGCGTCCTGTCCCATCCACACATGGGTCTGGGTTCTGAGGATGCCTGGGGTGACCAGAGGAGCGCAAATGCTCCCACCCGGGAGTGCGGGAGTCTCAGCCCCCGGTCGTTTCCTCCCAGAGGACAGCCGTGGGGCGCGGGCGAGGAGTCTGGGGAGACCTGCTTAGGGCCCTGGGCTCAGAGAGATCCCCTGGCAGGTCCTTGATCCCTAAGTGACCGTCCAGTTCTCATTTCCTGGAGGGACTTTAGTCGTCAGGCGCCCAGATGCGGCTACCGAGGGGTAGAGAAAGGTTTCCTGCCCTCCGGGTTCTCAGGGTGAAGGAGGCAAAAGCCAAGGACAGAGAAGACCCACCCCGTCTGCCCGTGGGGCAACCTGCAAAGCAGAATGCGCTGGAGACCTGCAGTGGGGCAGGCGCCAGGGCGCTCCGGGAGGGCTGGGAGGGCGCTCCGGGAGCATCTCGGAGAACAGGTGGTGGCGGGGGGGAGGCCCACGTGGGAGGGTGGCCGCGCTTGACCCTTGAGTCATCGGTGGCTGTGTTCCCGTTTTGCACTGCCCCTCCCTGGGTTTGTCACCTTGGAAAGATTTATTAGGTTATTCAAGCCCCGGGTTTTTCAGTAAATGCGAAATACATTTTACTAACAGACTTTGAGAGATTAGATAAAATATTTGCAAAGTAACACGGGAGGGGTCAATTTCA